GTCGCTTGGTCTGATGGCGCGGCTCGCAGCAGGCGAAGGCGTCGACTGACGAGGCCTCCTTCTGCCGCGGCCTGGATGACCGACGGCCGCGCCTCGGAGGACGCGGCCACTTGTTGGTTGGTTTCGCTTGCGGAACGGCTGGAAAAACGCAGAATCGTCATTATGCCAACGTGTTTACTCCATAGACACTTTACATTTTGCTCCTTACTACACAAGTCTCTTCTTCGTGCGCCTGCATCGGACTCGAGCGGTTTCGACAGCTTGAGCATTTGCTCGGGACGTACGAATCCGACGACGGGATCGTTCAAGGACAACGACGGCGTATGAGTGTTACGCGACGCTGCCGTGGCATAGCACTTGACTCGAACCAGGATTCGAATCGAGCGTGACGCAACCATCGAGGCGTTTGGATCGAATTGGTTACGGTACTCAGCGGTGTGTACTCGACCTCGGTACCGACAAAGGACACAGAAGCAGACGTGGAAATATTTCCAGGCGCAGTCACAAAGTTCAATGTTTGCCGTCCAGAGAGACGAAGCTGGTAGACGAGTACTGTCACCGTAGGCGATGTTGCCTGTCGCCTTCTCAACTCGAACTCGCCAAAACATGGCCAGCGGGCCATCGAATCGTCTACTTCACAAGGTGACAGGGACGTTTGAGGGGGTGCTACGGCCGCGTCGTTAACTGCTCAAAGAGCGCCTACCTTAATAGTTGCCTGGTGCAACCCCTACCATCGGTAGGTGTGGACAGTCTCAAGTGTTTGATGACACTGTGGGCTGGTCGATTCGGACTTCGCAACCGATCGCTGCACTGGACAACACGTGGCCCACCAAACTCTGGACCGTTGCCGACCATCTCGATTCGCCGCACGTCTCTGCTTTCGCCCTCCAACGCCTTTCAAGATATGGGTGAGGATGCGTCGCGATCACAGCGTTTCGCTCGATTCGTATCAATAGCAGGTCCAGGTCATCCCATCGATATCCGTGACACACCGGCCGAAACAAGATCCATCGATTTCCATCCTGCGTCTTCCAAAGCTCCAACCTGTGCTCCGCAACGCCAGCAGCAACGTTGCGACGTCGCCGGCACATCCACAGTAGCTCTCCATCACGCGCATACATGTACAACTTTATCCTGGTCGCTCGGCACATGTATGGCCGTACACATGTCAAAACCACATCTGCAACACAGAAGTCGCCTATCGTATGTCAGCCAAAACGACGTGCGGCTGAATTGCTGTTTGCGTCGGTGGCGTTCCATTTGCCTTCGCCACTTGTAGACGTGCCACGTGCCACCAATCAGCGTGCAGCAGAGGTTTCATCGAGCTAGCTAGATCGCGCCTGCCCAGATTTCAATGGACCACCCCGTGGCCACACGTCCTCGTTTCGCACCAATCTCGGTCGGCCACGCCGGTGTCCTTGTGCATATCGTGCAATGCTTGTCATCAGCCGAGGACGTCCTCTCGCTGCTTGACGCGCTGCCACGTCATACGCTTGACGCGCCATTGGCTGCGCTGTACACGCTCTTGACGACGCCCAAGACCTATCGCGTTGTCGATTGGTACTGGCCGCGGGCTTGCATCGCAGCGTTTACCAGTCGCCACTTCCCTACGCTGCTCGCCGCGCTTCCAATCTTTCGCTCCATTTCCATGAAGTTCCGTCGCGAGCTCGACGCGGTGCTACGCAACGCGACGAGTGAGTCAACGACGATTCCGCACGCAGCCACGATCGCATTCGTCTCCAAATGGGGCCACAAAATCAAGTCCATCGTCGTCAAGTTGCGGTTGCTACCCGATGCGATGGACGCTTTCCCGCGCCTTGTCCGCCTCTGCACAGGCCTCGACTCGATCGTGGTCTATGTCGACAAATCGCATCCGGCGTTTGTCGCAGCGACGATCCGCGCGGCGCAGCACACCAAACGCATGAGTCTTGTATCGTACAAAGCCAACGGGTACAAAAGCGGCGACCTGCAACCGCTCTTGGCTGCATGGCTCGCCTCCGGGCATGCGACGCATCTGTACCTCAAGAACATCGCATGCCATGTCTCTGTCGGCCTTGCTCGAGCGATTGCAGCTGCGACGTCGCTCGCGAGTTTCAAGCTTGACAACGCCCCTGGCTTACTACAAGGCCTCGTGGAGGCTGCTATCCCGCTCAAGGCCCTCAACGCGCTGCGCTTAACGCTACACGAGGACGAAACGTTTGCCGAACCGTTCTTGACCAACTGGATCGACCTCTCGGCGCTTCGAACGCTCGAAGTCCTCTCCGTCAACGATTTGGACTTGACGTATGTCCTGGCGCTACTACCGCATCTTTTGACGCTTGAAGAGCTCACGCTCAACTTTTGTGTGCTGCACGCCGTGCCGGCGTTGCACGCAGCACCGGCGCCGAGCAACCTGCGGACGCTGAACGTGTCGTACTGCCACATGAACGACGAGACGTGCCTAAGTCTTCTTGCTTGGGCGTCGCAGTCGCCGTGCCTCGAGACCATTACGCTCAACATGTGCCGCACGGTCCGCAGCAAGCCCGAGCTTTTTGGCCGCTACCTTCGCCGATGGATCCTGAGCGGCGTCTCGCATGTCGTCCTCGACCGCTGCGTCTTGGACGAGGAGAACATCATTGCGATTGCGACGGCGCTCCGCCACTCGAGCCGGTCAGCGCCGTTTACGCTATCGCTCGACTTGGATGGATTCGATCTCGAGTCGTACCGGACCCTCTTGGAGGCACTCGCCACGTGCACCGGCGTTGGCCTCCACGGACACGGGTCGACTTTAACCAACGCCGACGAACGCGTTCAAATTGAACATTGGGTCTGGGAGCTCGATCTGCGTTACGACAAACGCGACTTTGTCCTGCTCTTTTACAGTCCCTCGTAGCTACCAAGCACGTAAGGCGGCCAAGTGTACATCTTCTATATGCATCTACTAGTACTAGCAATTCCAATGACCTTGTACTAAAATGTCAAAGCCGACCGTCTGCATTGACGACATGGACGGCCCATGCACCGCGCAGCCCATGGCTCGGTGCCTACCAAACAAATCGTGGGTACCATCTGTGTCACGGGTCGATCGACAATGTCTGTTTCCACATTGTGCAAGGGTGCGCTCGGCCAAGGATGTCTATTCACTGTTCCAAGCGCTGTACTCGACGAGGTGCACCCCACACCTCCGAGTGGCTCGCGTCCGGACATGCTCCGGCTCGGGAATTTCTCGGGCGACGACGATCATGGCTTTGCACGGGCAATCGCAGCCGCGACCTCGCTCTCAAGCCTCGAGCTAACGCCTCTGGTGTGTCACAAGGCCTCGTGGACGCTGCCGTGCCACTGAGAGCCATTACCGAGCTGCGCCTTACTGTACCCGAAGCAATACTTTGCCGAGCCGTTATTGGCCAACTGAATCGATTTCTCGGCGCTTCGCATCCTCAAGCTCGCATATGATGATGAGTTGGACTCGACGTTTCTTCTGGCGCTACTGCCGCGTCTTCTGAAGCTTGAAGAGCTCACGCTCAAGACGTCTGTGCTGCGCGTCGAGCCGGCGTTGCTAAACGCGCCAGTGCCACGCCACTTACGGACGCCGACTCTTACGTATTGCACCATGGACGACGCCACGGGTCTTCTCCATTGGGCGTCGTCGTGCCTTGCGACTGTTGCGCTCAACATGTGCGATAAAGTGTGCAGCAAGCCCGCGCCTTTTGGTCACTACCTTCGCCGCTGGATCGCCGGTGGCATCACAACAGTCATGCTCAAAATCTGCGAATGGAACGCGAAGAGCATCTTCGCGGTCGCGTCATCGCTCTGCAACACTCGCCGGTCGTCGCCGTTTTTGCTATGGCTCGACGTGGACACAATGCGTCTCGAGTCGTTCCAAGTACTGTTGGAGGCCCTTGTTACGTGCACCGGCGTGAGTATCCAGGGAGACTATCCTTGTGGCTTTGGATTCGACGAGCGCGCTCAAATTCAAAGCTGGGTGACGCAGTTGCATCTGCGTCGGGAGTACACCAGTGGTTATGATTTCCACATCCTCAGTCCCTCGTAGCTATGACTTTATTGCACTCTCTATTGATGTTTCGCGTTGCTCTCCATACACTGTCGTAGGATCGTATCCCTAGTAGGTTCCAACAAGTAACACAAGGGCGCTTGGTGGGGTTTTTGGGCTCTTCGCCAGAGCTTGTAGGCCGACCACGCGCCACCAATTCGAGTCCAGCAAACGAGGTGGTTTTTCCAGGATTTTTTTGTATCTGCACGATATACTACCACATCCTGAGTGCAACACACCCGACGGCTTGCACTCCTCTGTCGGGTGGTCCGAGTACAGGAGCCTGCGTACGACCTCGCGCGAGCTATCAATCGGCGAGTGGGGTCCACCACGGGATGGATCTCTTTCTATTGTAATAGACGACCCACTTCAACAACAACGGGATGGATCTCTCCGTGCGCAGCTCACTCCCAACGACCAAGTGCTGGTGCCAACTCCCACGCATTCAGGCGTAGCACTACGTATGCGAACTCTTTGTAAGGAAGATAACACGAAACACGTTCATATGTATATCCTACAGGTGTCAAGCAAGGATCGGGGAAGATCGCGACCGTAGACGGTCCGGTCCAAGTGCGAGGACCGGTTCAGAGACACGGGTTGCGGTCTGCCGACACACGAGGAGGCATCAAAAGAAGCGACATAATAGTCTGCAAGTGGAACGTACAAATTGTATGAGAAACAAAATCCACTCCATTTCTTTTTCCTGTACGAGAGCAACCAGGTCACGGCGTCACCGAGCCGCCCGTAACGGAAACATAGAACACGTCTGAAATTCTATCTCCGCAATCCATTTGACGGAACCGGTGGCGACGAATTTACATGGACAGCAAGCGACCGTGCCACGCGTTAATGACGGTGGTCCACGCCGGCTTCTTGAGCCACTTTGTGCAGTGCTTGAGCTCGAAAGACGACGTTCTCTCGCTGCTCACCGCGCTGCCGCGCGACGAGCTTGATGCACCTTTGGCCGCGCTTCGGACACTCTTGACGACGCCCTCGAGCGCGCACAAGGCGCCATGGCCGCACGTCTGCATCGAAGACATGGACAGTCAGCACATTTCGACGGTGCTCACAGCGCTGCCAACGATTCGCTTGATTTCCATCCGTAATCTCGACAGGCTGTGTGAGGTGCTGCGCGAAGCTACCAACGAGCCTGATAGTTCTCCGTACGCAGCAGCAATTGCGTTTGCCACAAGATGGGGCCACAAGGTCACGACCATCGCTCTCTGGATGTGGCCGCAAGACAACAGTGCCGAGGCGCTCGCAACCATCATTCGACATTGCACATCCATCTGCGCGATCGGCGTCAGCGCCGTTGCGTTGGACCCAGCGTGCATCAAGGCCGCCATCTTCGCGGCCCAGCACGCCAAAAAGATACACTACGCATCGAGAAATGGAGACGTGTACGACTGCGGGGATTGGCGACAACTCTTTGGCGCCTGGCTCGCGTCGGGGCATGCGACGGAGCTCCGTCTTGATGGCCTCACAAGTGATGACAACATTGGCTTCGCACGAGCGATCGCCGCTGCGACGTCGCTCACGAGCCTCAAGCTTACCAACACACCAGACTTGCTACAAGGACTCGTCGAGGCCGCTGTCCCGCTCATGTACATTACGCAGCTCCGTCTCGTCATCGACCATGAAGACGGCGCCCTTGCGGACGCGCTTCTCACGAATTGGATCACTCTCCCGGCCCTTCGCGTTCTCAAGCTCCGCTCCGAGGACAGCGCCGACGTGACGTTTGTTCTGCAGCTACTGCCGCGGCTCGTCATGCTGGATGAGCTCTCGTTTGAGACATGCACGCTGCGGAGTGTGCCTGCGTTGCGAGAGGCGCCGGCGCCGTGCCGCCTGCGCATCTTGAGTACGCGGACGCTGCAGTGTGACGGAGACGATGACGCGTGCCTGGATCTCTACGCGTGGGCCGCACGCTCGCCATATCTTCAGGTTGTCAACGTGGAAGCCACCGACGCGGTGTGGCGCAAGCCCGTGCTCTTTGGCCGCCAGCTTCGTCGATGGATCCAAGACGGCGTCGATCGCATCTCTCTGCAAGACTGCGACGTGGACGACAAGAACATCATTGCCATTGCCGGTAGCATCTGTGACGCGCACCGGTCGCGACCGTTTGTACTTTCGTTTCATTTCCAACCGATGCGCCTCAGGTGGTACTTCGTGCTTATGGAAGCACTGGCCACCAGCGCTGGTATCAGCATCGAAGGTAACGATTTCAGTCACCAAGACGATCGCCAAGATTTGGACACCTGGGCGACACGATTTCACCTACGACTCCATCACGACATAAACGATCGATTGACCATCCGTAGCCCCTTTTAACATCGGTTGGATCCGGACTAAAAATCAAAAGCAAGTAATTTTTCTCCCTTTCTATTCATGGCAACGACACCTTTGCATCCCTCGAGTGATCTCAAAACCACGAAATTCCGACCTAGATAGTAGAGGCAAAATCTGCAGGTGCCGTTCTTGGGCAAGACGTGCTATATTGGATAGAACATCTTTCATTCCATGGCCGTTATGATGCATCGTTGAGTTGAGCCCCACGACTATGTCACCGACTCTGGTGTACGAAATGTCTCACACACAACGTCTTCTTTATATGTCTACACAGCAAGTACTATCGCTGTGCACTTGGAACGGACAGGTTGCTACACGAGTGCGTTTCGCAGGAATCAATCAAAGCCAACCTGTGGGCCTGCCACGTTTCTCCAATTAAATCGCCGGGAGATTTGCATTTTGTCCAATGCCCGCTGCAACCGCTTCCTTTGTCCATCGATTCGCAACGCCGTTCGAGACGTCGTCGAACTCGATGTGGGAACCATCCTCATCATCACAGCAACGCTCCACGACACACGACGGTGGCCCACCTGTGCTTTGACTTGATGAGCGACACCGACGTCTCAAGTGGCTCTTATGTCTGTCAAAGGCTCGAGTTCGGTCGCGCCAAGTTTATGAATAGTAAGTAGCGTGGTCGAGCGTCAGTGTGGTACCCTACCCCTAGTCAGGACCTAAAAACGCGCGACGTCTCTATCGGGCTCGCCACCCAGTGCTTGCGCAATAGCACTGTCAGCTGCCGTTTCTAGCAGAATCCGCAGCTATTCCCAGCAATGCACCGATAGACACCGCGCCCACGCAACAAAAAGCCTCGTTCCAACATTTCAAACAATATACACTATTAACAACCACCAACGTTTTAAAACCCAACGCTCGTTCCTTGAGGTCATGACATTCGACTTGAAAGGGTGCTATACACAATACTCGACAACAATCGAAAACAATGATCGATACAACAAAACTATAGTACAGGCATCACGACACGACGACGACAATATTCCCGCAAACAATCTTTACGCTTGGCCCGACTCGCTTCCCCACGAGTCGTCAAAGTAGTCAGCGAGGATCCGGGTCACAACCATATTGCCGTTGACGTTGGTCGACGTGCAGATCCGGTCCAAGAGAAAGTCGATCGCGACAATGTAAATAAACGCGCCGGGGAGCGGGATGTTGGGCAGCACGGTCTTCCAGACCGTCATGAGCATGATCAGACCCGAGTTGGGCACTGGCGCCGTGCCCACGCAGCCCAAAAGCGAGACAAAGAAGAGCACAACGAGCTCTGGCACGCCGAGGTGGCTGCCGACACCACCGACGTTGGCCATAAAGACCGTCAAGAGCGGGTAGTAAAAGCCGGGTGAGTTGAGGTTGACCGGCGTGCCAAGACACATCATGAGCTGGGCGAGCTGGCGCGACACTTGACGCGTCTGGTGGACGACGGTGACCGCTACCGGAAGCGTCGCCATCGACGACGAGCAGCCAAACGCAAACACGTAGGCAGGCACGAGCTGCCGGAGGTAGTTGTACGGGTTGATGCGCGTAAACAAAAAGAGATAGAACGGCATGACGATGAGGACATGGACCATGACGCCGGCGATGAAGAAGAGGATGAGGTACCCGCCTTGGGCCATGATATTCGTGCTCGTCGTACTGTACGTCACAATCGAGCTCGACAAGAGAAAAAGACCGCGAATGGCGTCAGCTTGAGCACCGCGTTGATCATGAGGAGGAGCGTGTTGCGACTCTGGCGCAAAATGTTGAGAAGGTAGTTGGTGCCAGGACCAAGCGCTTCGTTGTGCGACTTGGCGACGGCGACGCCGAGCGGCAAGGCAAAGGTGAGGATACTGAGAAGCGACCCGCTCGCCATGGCTGCGAAAATGTTGTCGGGCACGACCAAGTTGACGATCGCAATCACTTGTTGTGTCAGCGTGAGTTGCTGAAACGCCGAGTTGGTACTCAGCACATTGTTGACATCCTGGACCGTGAAGAGCGCGCTGGCGTTGGCACTTCGACTCAAGCACGCTAGCGTGCCGTTGGTGAGCGTCTCCAAGAACTGCCCGTTGGCACACCGGAGACCCAAGACGATGCCATTGGTCGAGGTCGCATTGCTTTGCGAGACGGGCCAGTTGGCGTTGAAGACGCTGTTGTAGATCAAGGCGACGACCATGCCTTGCATGGTGGCGAGGATCGACGTCGAGAAGAGGACGGCGGCCGTGCGCCACGTTAAAATCGACGTTTTGTTCAAAACGACAATCTCGGCGATCGAGACCGTCATGGTGCTAAACACCAAAGGCACGACAAGACACCGCAGCGCGCGCACAAAGAGGTTGCCGGGCAGCTCGAGCCAGAGCGCGAGGTCTTGCGGAATGTTAAATTTGGTCAAAATCAACCCGAGACCAATGCCGAGACAGGCGCCGATGACGACTGTCATCGAGTTGAAATACGTCGCGGTCTCGCGCGAGTCGTAGTTGCCGTGGGGCGCCGCTGGCTGGCCCTCGAGAATCGGGTCGTTCTGCAACGAGTAGACGGGTGGCGTGTGCGGCCCGAGCGTCTCGACCGGCGTCGACCGAAAGTTGGTGCGTGCGTTGACCGACTCGAAGTGGGCCGGTTGGCGCTCCTGGGAGCTCGTCGACGAGACGCCGCTGCTGAGCATCGCCGGCTTGTATGTCGGCTCGGGCTCGTAGAGGTAAATGCCTTTGCGCGGCGGGTCCATACTGAAGAAGGGTTGGAGTGGTACTGCGTGCAGTGCGGCGAAATGCGGTCTGGCAATGCTCTGTGAGAAGGAAAATACATCCAGCAGAGGTGCGGCAGCTGATCAGACGATGTATCTTTTCGCAAACCAGATGTTGCGCGGACAGCTAGGCGCGCCACCCGACCTGACCCGATAAAGAAGCGAGTCGTTCCTGTGCAACCACCTCTCTACCTGCATACAGAAAGGCACGAAAACGCACGGCACGGGACGGCGTGGACCTGACTTGCTTGCAAACGCGAGGCGTGCGTCGGTTGACTCGATATATGGACCGTGTGGACGGTTCCGTATGGTTGGACGTGGGCGTGCATGGACCATACTGTGCTGACACCAAGACCGAGTCGCACCCACGAGCACTTGGCAACTCGAGGTTACGCAAGACATGAAGGCGGAATTGTGAGCAGCACGGCCGATCGTTTCGACAGGCGCGGGCCGTCGCACCTCTCATTGGTGATTCTAGTGGCTCGCTCGACGTAGTACAGGGCCGCTCTCCGTACGTGGCTCTCAAGCATTTCGAATGTAGCGTAGCATTCTAGCTTGTAGCATGTATCACCGCTCGTCAAGGATCATTCGAACGGCTTTGTATAATAGTATAGCGTCAAGACCAGGTACCCATTCTCTCGAGGCTCAACAGCAGTAAACGTCATATTGGCCGATCCCATACGAGTCGTTGGCGGTCGGAGTATCTTGGCCAGCTGCTGTAGCAATCACAAGGGCAATTTGCCGTTCACCCACGTTGTCAGTCACGGTCTGTCACGGAACTTGCCGTTTGGTTGAACCTTCCTGCGTGCACCGAGCCTGGTCGTCGTCGTCTTCTTTTTTTGCCGCAGTGTTACAAACTGGTCCTTGTCCACGCTCTCCTTTACGCTGCACGTGCAGAAAAGGGCATGCGAATGGCGTGAGGCCAGTGCGTCGACGCAGAAATATCGCCTACCGTGGGACGTCCAGATACAGTAGCTCTCTCGTCGTCTGGATAACAGCGTCTTGCTTGGTCTGACGCAAAACCACGTGAGTCGCTGCAGTTGCTGCGCAGTAGTGCTAAAGTCGCTGCAGACGTGATCCTCGAGGAGTTATCACAATGCCGCCGCGTTGATGTCACGGTGGGAGCTGGACATGGCATGAACGAGCAGATCAGCATGCATCCAAGTGGATCGGTCCTTTCCAAGTTGCAGTAGCTTCAAGGCCAGAGAAAGTGAAGGCCAAGTGGCAGAAAGACACTGTGCACTGCCTTGCGAGGAATTCGCGTCGTCCATTTGTCGTCAAGTCTCGTCAGGGTACACATCGCAACATCTTTTTTCCCAACATTTCCTCGACGTCACCTATGTACATCAAGGTGCAAGGCCGGTACAATTGAGGAAGGAAGCGCAGTACGGGATGGATCCAACAAAATGACTGCCTTTTCTTCAATGTTTCTCTTACTTCTTCACAACGTACGTACATTGCAACGCCGTAGGTATCGCTGATCGCGTGTAGAGCTCATCTCCGATGCCCGCAGCAAGCAAGGGATTGTGTTTTCGAGGCGCGGCCCCTTGGTTCCATAAAATATATGTCCGGAGGTTGTCGAAGTCTCCAATCCGATCGCACAAATGCCCGAAGACAACATGTGTCAACAAGGACGCTTGACAAAACACAATATAACGAGCGAGCCTACCGCTGCCCAAATATGTTTACGCTGTCGACATAACTCTAAGAAATAGCATGGTCGTGTAGTGATGCGACCCGCATGCATCGCCTTCATCCAGTGGAGCTGCAAGAAAATCTCTCGCTAGCTTGACTTCCAGCTTGCCACGTATCACCAATCAGATCGCACAACAAGTTATCAGTATCCAATCACATTGCGTCGTGGCCAGAAACCCGCACCACGATGATGGGCAAGAAGACGCCGATGAAGGCTGTCCACGCGGGCGCCTTGATCCACACCATCCAATCCTAGGCCTCGACCAAGGACGTTCTCTCGCTGCTGCAGGCGCTGCCACGTCATGCACTCGACGCGCCATTGGCTGCGCCACAAACACTCTGGATGACGCCCTTGGCCATCCTGCAACAGCACTGGCCGCACGTCTGCATCGAGCTCATGGACGGACTATCACAACGGGGCGACGGAGCTGACAACCCTGTCGACCTTTCGCTCTATTCGCGTCCGGCACCTTGGCGGCCACGACGAGGAGCTTCGCGACTTGAGAAGCAACGAACGTGAGGTCACCTCTGTCGCATTCGCCGCCAAGCGGGGTCACAAGATTACACGCATCGCAGTGACGCCGTGGCTCGAGGTCCATCATAACACTGCACTCACGCGTGTCTTTGATCTCTGCACGGGTCTTGTCTTGCTCGCCGCGACCGTCACGATTAAGTCGAACCCAACGATCCTTGCAGCGGCGTGCCACGTCAAGCGCATCGAATGTGCTTTTCTCGGTGGCACACCGTACTCTTGCAGTGACTGGTGCCCCTCTTGGCGTCGGGGCATGCGACGTACCTCGGGTTGGCAGGAATCTCGTCCACGGACAACAACCGCTTTGCACGAGCCATTACAGATTCCTCTCGTTCAGCACAAAATGGTCTACCGCTGGGTCTACCGTGGGACGTCTTGATTGCCTTGCAACGCCAAGAATGAGCGGTGTCCATTCTTCGTTAAACGCCCAGCAATCCGATTTGAATCGGAGGTCGCATGACGCTCTTGGGCAAGGGCGCCGACCCGGCCGAGGTGACTTTCGATGCGACGGGCCTCTCTTCGTCCCCGCCAAAGGTGTTGGCCGAAGGACAGCAGCACATGAGCGTCGGTCAAATGCTCCAGCGCCAACAATGCGACTCAGCGACTCGGCTTTTTATGCATGCTGTCACACCAGTCGATCCTGAAGCGCGACGACCTCGTCGGGCGATCCCAGAGCGAGAGCACGATGAATCTTTAAATGATTGGCGTCCTAGCCAAAGCCATACACAAGTCGGTAGCATTTACGACAACACCAAAGACAAAAATCCATTCGTAATACGTCATCAAAGGCTACTCGATGGTCGGCGCTGGTGACGGTTGCGTCATGGCTTCAAACATCAGCGCGTCGTCTTCGTCCACCGTATCCCGCGAGCCTTGGAGTCGACCCAGCACAATCGCGACGACGAGGCTCATCACGCCCAGCGCGACCGCCGTAGCTGCTAGTGCATTTGCATCGCGTTGCACCTTGGCGCTAAAGGACCCGTTGTAGCATACGTCCGCGGACGTCGAGCTATACTTCGGCTTCATCATGGCATGGCGGCACGCGGGGCTCAGCTCCGGGTAGACCATTTGGCTGCGGTAAAAAATGCAAAAGGTTGAAATGCCATCGACCCACGATATCGCTTCGCACGTGTCGTCGATCCAGTCGCTCGAGGCCGACGCCTCGCGCATCTGTTGGCAGCCGTCACAGAGCGCGCTCAACGTTGGCTCGACCGTCAGCACATTTCGTGTCACGCAGCCACAAAAGTCGGTCAGTGTTGTCGAGTTGGTCATCGGAACGCCATACAACGTTACATTGAGCGAAGTTCTTGAGAGCCGCACGGCAGTGTTGACGTGGCATTGACGAGTCCGAACCGGAGGACGGCGCGCATCGGGAAGCTGTCGCAGTAGACGCGACCACGCTTGGCGCAGTATGCTTCGTCAAAGCGCTGCCGGAGTGTCATGTCCTTGTTGTTCATTGAGAGACATTTGGTATCGCGCGGATCATGCCAAGAATAGTCATACGATGGGTAGGCACCGTCGTACGTCGTGTTTTGCAAGAAGGCACGGTCGAGGTTAGCGCGCTGGAGCAGTGGCTCGACGTCTTGAGCGCTCTCAAAGGACGTGACAGCAATGGTCGTGAGGAGCGCGACGTGGAGCAGGCTCAGCCACACGGGCGGCGTCAGTGTCGCCAGCTTGGACGCGCTAGACGAGCGAGAGGATGCCGGCGACGAGGCTGGTGCCAGCGCACGAGAGTGCTACGGCGCCCTGAAGGTACAGTAGCATGAACGAAGAGGACCCAAGCGCGATCAAGACGATGAAATCGTAGAGAAGTACAAGACTCGTGGCGCCAAGAAAGACGCGGAGCTGCCACGAGAGGAGACGCATGCTCAGCAAATGCAATTGAAAACTGATAAAATGACCACGTGGACATCCTTCAACTTCCTGACCAATACAAAGGCACTGTCCATGCAAGAGTGGGATTCAAGGTGGCCATAAAACCTGGCTGACATACGCTGGGTTCCACTCCCACACGGTGATATCTCGATGGACATCGGTTCAAAAGGTGGCCACTCGATTGAGTCCCGTGTTCCCTCGTGCGCCGCTGCGATAGTAGAGCCTTTTGACTTAACACATGTCCTATTCAATCGCATGTCACCCGAGTGTCGTTTGTCATTGGCACGCCAAGCAGTCGGCAGATTTATGTTGTGCTCGGGACGTTGTTTTTGGTCGTTTGATCCTGAGTGGATCCAAAAGTCAAGTGGAACCGTATGCGGATATTCTGGGAGGATCACCTCCTCCGACACCGTCGATGGTCCGTTCGTTTTGTTTCACACGCACCACTTGTCGAGGTGACGGTGCGTATTAGCGCAATGCGCAGTGGGGCATGGTAGCTGGTCGTCTGCCACCTACCAGTGTCCAGGCCAGCAATAGCGTTGACGGAGTTCTTCCCTTGCATTTGCTCGACGTTTCCTGCAACGTAATCAAAATACGAAGGAACTTCGCACCGAATTGCTCAACGAAGTGAACTAGGCTGTGTTCTCTTCTCCTTCACACAATGTGCATCGTCGCGCGGTAGGCATCCCGGTCGCTTGATTCGTCCGTCCATACACTCTGTCTCAAAAAGTTCGCTCCCAATACAAGTTTGCCACGTATGACCAATCACATCGTAGTCTGCAAATGTCTTGTCCAATCAAGTTGCGTCATTTCGGAAGTGGTCAGAAATACGATGCACAAGCGGCCGTGCGTCGCGCCAATGGCAGTCGTTCAACCCGGTGTCGTCGCTCATATTGCCCACTGCTTGGGCTCGACCAAGGACGTCGTCTCGTTTTTGCAGGCGCTGCCACGTGATGCGCTCGACGCGCCTTTGGTTGCGCTTCAAACACTCTTGACATCGGGCGGTCTCAACCAAACTAGTATCTGGCCGCAGGTCGCCGTCGAGTTCTTAGCCGATCCCAATGGAGCGAATGTGCGCGCAGCGCTACCAGCGTTTCGTTCCATTTCCATCCACAACCTCTACAGCCTCGCCGAGAAGCTACGCGACGCGAGCAGCGATGCGCTCGAAGCCATCGTTGCGTTTGCGGCCACGTGGGGTCACAAGATTACGTCCATCGACGTGACATTCTGGCTGCAGCCCAAAGATAATGACGTGCTGACGCGCGTTCTTGGTCTTTGCACGGGTCTCGTCTCGGTCGCCGCCAACATCGATGCTGTGTCGGACCCCGCAACGCTTGCAACGATCGTCCAAGCGGCGCAGCACGCCAAGCGCATCGTCTTTTACTCGGACATCGACCAGACATTTCCTTGCGGCGACTGGCGCTGTATCTTTGCGCATTGGCTGGCGTCCGGACACGCAACAGGCCTCGGATTGCAAGAATTTTCGTCCACGGACGATGCAGCCTTTGCACGCGCCATTGCCACAACCACGTCGCTCACAAGTCTCGCGCTGACCAACACCGATGGTGTTCTTCAAGGCTTACTGAAGGCAGCGATGCCGTTGCACCATCTCACGGAGCTGCGTGTCGTCACACCCCATAACGGTGTCGCCGAGACGCTCCTTTCGACGTTCCTCGATCCCTCGCGCCTTCGCATGCTCGAGCTCGACATCGGAATTGACGATGCGGACTTGGCAATTGTACTGACGTTATTGCCACGTCTCGTGCGGCTTGAAGAGCTCTCGTTGCGCAATGGCCTACTGGAAGGCGAGCCCGATGTTTCGATGGCGCCGCGCTGCCCCCGCGAGCTCTGCATCGATCGATGTACCATTGATGACGGTGCCTTCTCTGGCCTTCTCGCGTGGGCTTCGCAGTCGCCGTGCCTCGAGACCGTCTCGATCCGGTACTGTCCCACTGTGGGATGCCAAGCATTCTACTTGGGTCGGTACCTCCGGCAATGGATCGCCGCAGGTGTGCTACGTGTCGCCTTGGTCGATTGCGTCTTTAATGAAAACGGCATCATGGCAATCGCAACGGCACTCTGCGACGCGCAACGAGCACGCCAACCGTTTGTGCTTTCGCTTGAGCTAGGAGACGTCAGTCTTGCATCGGCCGAGGAGCTCTTGGAGGCGCTGGCAACGTGCTCCGGCGTTTGCGTCGAGGAGGTCTATCTCAAACGAGATGTCCGAGACCATCAAATCGTCAAACTCGAGACTCGTGCGCAAGGGCTCCGCGTCCGATTCAAGCGCGGATATTGCACCTCCACAGCCCATTGCCCTAATACCGTCACGTCAATCCAGCTCTGTCTAGCGGCGCAAGACTAACTTTTGTTGTTGAAATACAATCCGATCGTTGGAACGCTGTCGTCGGGATGCTTTACAATATGCTTCGCAAGGAATCCCTCGCCCATACTATTCGAATTTGGTAGCATAGAGTCTACTGAAACGCCCCATTTGCCTTTTCGATGCCAAGCATGCCTTTGAATTGCCTCTGTAGTCGAGACCACTTCACAGCGATGCCACGTCAATGACGTGGCATCATGACGTGACATCCTAGTGCCAGTGCAAAGTCGCCATTCTTGTATAAGAATATACGGTAGTTGAAGATGTGTGGGTTGATCGATCCTTCTTCCTAGCACGCCACGTATTGGCAATCCGAGGACAAATTCTATTTCACTCTACACTTCATTTTGCCTCTCCATGGACCACCAGCAGTTGAGCAAGCGGGCTTGCGTGGCGCCGATCAACTCACCTGCGACGACGGTGAGATGGGTCACTGCATTGCAGCCACGACGTCGCTCACGAGCCTGTATACAAGACTCGCCTCGTGTCGTCCAAGGACTTGTCGACGCCAACGTGCCACTGCCCAACATCACGGAGCTCCGTGTGCACTCGCCGCATGCTGATATCCTCAATGACTTTGTGACGCACCGCATTCATCATCCGCGCCCTGGATCTTGCGGCCAATACTGACGCCGACGCAACATTTGCCCTGCGGAGGACGCCGGCGCCATACCAGTGAGTGCTCCATCAACTGTGACATGGACGACGATGTTCTCGTCGTAATTTACGCGGTTCATAGGTGCGCGGTCGGCAGCCAGCGCTTCTTGTGTGCACGTTCTTTTGACAACATTTATATAACCAAATGCGGAAGAAGGAAACCCTTGCGGTGTGTAGCATAGATAAACATCGTACAGTTTGTATGGTCGATGGCGGGTGGAGACGCCCTTGTTTCTATCTATACGCCACGGTGTTCTATTTTCACTCTACACTTCATTTTGACCGGACCATGGACCAGCAAGGTGGGAGCAAGCAGGCCTGCGTGGCACCAATCGCAGTCGTCCACACCAATATCCTCGTCGACATCATGCGATTCTTGGACTCGACCAAGGATCTCCTCTCACTAGTGCAGGCACTGCCACGTGACGCGCTCGATGCATCCCTCGTTGCCTTTCGGACGCTCTTGGTGACACCCAATGTCTTGAATATCAAGCTCTGGCCGCAAGTCTGCATCGAAGACATCGATCTCCGCTACACCTCGACCGTGCTCGCGGCTCTTCCAATCTTTCGCTCGATCCGCATCGCAGAGCTCGCGCGACTCAATGCCACGTTGCTAGGCCGCTGCATCCAGGATGACCCACCGTCTCCTCCCAGCCACGACCGATTTCGTCGCCAAGTGGGTCATAAAGTCGACTCTATGAGTGTGACGTCGTGCGAACAAAAACGAGGCATGGACAAGCTCCAACGTATCTTGCGTCTCTGCACCGGGCTTCGCCACGTCGACTGCACCACCTTCGAGTCGGCTCCGATGTTCTTGAATGTTGTCGTTCACGCCGTGCCGCACGTCCAGCGCCTTGCCTACTGCTCGCTCAACTTGAGCGACGACGATGCCATATCTCCGTGTGAGCCCTGGCGACCAGTTCTTTCCACGTGGCTAGCGTCTGGCCATGCGACGCACCTCCATCTCGACAACTTTACGTGTGACGACGACGTCGGCCTGGGCCACTGCATCGCTGCCACGGCGTCGCTTACGAGCCTCAAGCTACAAGACTCACCTGGCGTTGTCCAAGGGCTCGTCGCTGCCAGCGTGCCACTGCCCAACATCACAGAGCTTCGTTTGCACTCGCCCGATGCCGATATCCTCAATAACTTTGTGACGCACCGGATGCATCATCCGCGCCTTCGCGTCCTGGAGCTGGCGGCCACCCACGGAGTAGACGTAACATTTGCTCTGGCGCTACTGCCGCAGTTGAGTGCTCTGGAAGAGCTCGCGTTTGGCCAGTGTACGTTGCGCGAGGCGCCGGCCCTGGACAGCACGCCTTCGCCCCGCCTTCGGGCGCTCCGACTGACCTATTGCGACATGGAGAACGACGTTCTCGTCAGTCTCCTTGACTATGCCTCGCGGTCGCCGTGCCTCGAGACGGTCGAGCTCAACATGTGCGACATGCCGCAGACCCCGCCCGAGCTCGAACGCCTTGGACGCTCCTTCCGCCAATGTATTGAGGCAGGCGTTCGCTCCATCACCCTCCACGATTGCGAATTGACGTGCGTCGAAGCCATCGCCAAGGTGGTCCGTGCTTTGCATCAACCACGGCTATTTGTCCTCAAGATCGACTGCGCAACACTACGCACCGCATTGAGCCAGCCACTTTTAAAGGCGCTCGCCACCTGCACCGGCGTCCGCATCGAGTGGTCGTTTTCTGGAGGACTCAAGCGCGACACCCTCGTCCAGATGCGCAAGCTGGTGAAGAAGTTCCAACTCCGCATGAGCAAATGCGGCAAGGATACGGTGTGGATCTCTAGTCCTATGTAAACGTCGTCCAGGAGGCACACCGACATCAATGCGCCCGACATTTATGTAGCATTGTATCGACAACCTCTCTCTACCATCGATTCATCCCTCTATCTATCCACCTATCTATCCATCTATCCATATATCGATACGAGCCATTCTGTCGTGCGGTATCCTTGCGTGCCCCAGATTCGAGGTGGTACAGTGCAATATGATGTGTGCGATGCAGACACGGCTTAAGTAGTGAATAGGAGGTTCAAGGAAGAAACGTCAATTTGATGTTCATCTTTATAGCCCTTTTCGATGCCCCGTGTACCCGAGCAGGACTTTGTGTCTACCGGCAGATGACACTAATGACACGGCGCGCTCTCAACATACCGGTTCTCGGTCTCGAGGGTCTTGTGCTGCGTGGTATACGCGGTAGAGAGGTGCGCGGCCGGCAGCCTACGCTTCGTGTACGCGCCATTTCTTTTGAAACACATTTGCAGAGCGTACGGTTGATGGGCGAGCGTGTCGGACACCGCGAGACGCTGGCCAATCCCAGCGAGCAGCGACCCTCCTTGCTTGCGCACCTCGGGCAGCTTGGTCGCCCCCTGTCCCTACCTCAGCCATCGCACCAGTCGTCGTCTCAGTCGTACCGTCTCGAGTGGCGGGAGGGTGCGCGGGGGCGTCCCACGCTTGGCCTCCACCTACGAGCCGCTCGATGGTCCACCCGTGCGACGACAGCCCATGCGTACAGCTGCCTGGGGGTGTCGTTTATGCGGCAACTGGCCCAAGCTTCGAACCGTGCCGGGCGCTTGGTTATCGCGGTTGTTCTGCGCCGCCGCCGACGTCTGGAGCTCATACGACCTACCCGCACGATATGTTTTTGAACATGTCCACGCACATGTGGTAATACGTTTTCCAGCTGTTGCAGTTGTGCTCGCCCCCCGGTCCAACCTGGACCGGCGAGTTCAGTCACCCTCTCTCGACGCCATCGAGGTCCATACCTGGTGTACGCCGGTATGGAACGGTGAGTCTTTGGCTGCCTACACATACGTCGTTGTCCGTACATGGCGTCGGCGCCGAATAGAAGATGCACCGGGTCGACGCTGGCTTGGTTGAGATTCGTCGTAAACGTCCGTCGACCGGCCGGTTTCTCGGCCATGAGCGCAGGCAAAATGGCATCTTTGCCGTGGACCAAGTGCTACGAAAACACGTGACGATGCAGCCCTTGCACAAAATATGCTGCGTCGTACGTCTCGGGTCGACACGGGGTCTTGATACGCCCGCTTCTTGAACGTACGGTTGACGTAGCCGCCCCAGTCCGCGTCCGGGTGCGACGGATCGAAGCGGTCCTTGCAGTAGCCCGTGATGGGCGCCGCGTCGCTCTCGGTTCGTGGGTCGAGTCGCTTGGCCGTCGTCATAGTGGGGGTGGCACCTAAAAATACGCGTCGGGAAGCGATGGTAGGGTAGGGCTGGGGCTCGATCCTCGGGACGGTCATAGCATTCTCTCAACGCATAGAACGCAAATATGACCTTCTCGAAGTTAGGTCATGGACTGCAGTAGGTACTAGCTACGTCTATAAGCGGTTGCTAGGAAGACACGATGTAGCTATGAAAGACTTCCACCTCGTAGGGCGGCGTGAAGAACAGCGTTGACGGACGTTGGGTTACAGCCATACCCGGTACTAGTAGTAGAATACCGTCCATCACGGCCATGTCGTCTCCCTTACTGTTACCACCTCAGTAGGTTCCTCACGGCTCTGAATCCTTCTACCTGATGTCGCAACCGAGCCATGTTGAACACCACAGGCTCCATAGCAAAAGAACGTTTTACTGCCATCGGCTGCAGTCGATGTCAAGATCGTGCGTTGCGGTGCGCCGACACGGATGGAAACAAGCCAGTACGTGGATATTACCAGGCCTCTTACGAGGCCTTGACGGCGGGCGCTTCGCCCTTTTCTTGGCGTCGTCGGCGCACGTCAAAGTTGAAGATGCGCGCCATGTTGACTTCGGTCGTAATGATCTGGTCGCGGAGGAAGCCGAGGTCCGCTTCGATCTGCGAGAGGCGCGACGTGGCCGTCGAGAGGTTGCTTTGCAGCAGCGACAGCGCTTCGTCAAACGAGTACTCGACCATGACGTTGGCGCCGAGCCAAATGCACACGGTCTGCACGTCGGCGTCGATCGTCGCGTTCGCAAACACGTTGTCGGCGAGGCTAAAGTGCGTCTCGATCGGCTCGTCCTTCTCACGCGACGCCATGAGATGCTCGAGCATCGCGAGGTCCTTCTCCGTGTCGGGAATCTTGGTCTTGAACGACTGCTTGGACTTGGTCAAATTCGTTTCCATAAACTTGTACTTGGAGTAGAGCTGCTGCAGCGCGCCGACGATGCCTTCGACCGGGTCCGCGCCCACAAAGGCGGCGACGTCCTCCACGAAGATGGCACACGGGATACCGCGCTCGTTGCGCTCGCCGAGGAGGCGGTCGGTGATGTCGGACGACTCGGCCATCGTGTTTGCTTTGGAAAGTCCAACCAGTGGTGACGGTTGGTATTTTAATACGCAGGTGGATTTTGCATACAAAAAGTAGCATGGCGTAAAAAATTGGAAAATATTACGAGACAGGCGGATCCGGATACGACGACGTGGACCAAATGCATTGCGCGCGGCCGGCACACCAAATGCAACCTGGCCAAGCGCGGGTGTGGGCTGCTGGAAACACGACGTACTCTTGACGCTACGGACTGCAGACCGCTGGTGACGAGGTCGTTGCCCAGTATTGAGCGGTAGTGCCGAACACCACGTCTCCGCGTCAAGGCCAACGAACGCGATGGCCTGGAAGAGGCTCGAAGCGTCGAGGCAATGCTATTGGACAACGTATCACCAAGCACGATGTACGTGCAATTGAACAGAGCAATAAGTTGTCGGATCTTATCGGCTAGCCTACGCCAGCCATATGCTAACAAGGCTCGTCTTGTCTTGATTGCTTAAAGTCCTCTATTTCAAATTACAGACTCTCTTTGGAACGCCTTCTTCCGAGCAAGGAATGTCAGTTGGCGCTGGGTCTTGCGATCGGGGTGAAGATCAGTCATGCATTCGCCCACGACGGCCCTCGTCTTGTCCCAAGCAGGTTTG